TGTTCCATTTTATGGAAGTGTTTTATAGTACTCCTTTATTTAGCTCGACTCCTCCAAATTTAGGATTTATGAGAAGTGGCTCATTGCTTCACCTTAATTTTTAGGCCCACAATAACTCTAATATTAAATATTTTACATGTTTTTTCATCTATGTATACTAATAAAAATAAATTTGGGGTCCCAATAACTGAGGGACTCCGGGTGGTTGACCTCCCCGCCCTTACTCAAGAACGGCCCTAATCGCACCAACTATAAAAACCAATAACGTATACGTGCATGTTTATACAAATAGGCTATCAGGTTCTAATTTTTTAATGTTGAACCGTGAGGTTTGAAAAGATGCACTTCTTGATAGATTGGATTTCCTGAAAGAAGGTAGAGGATAAGACTTCTAACTCTTTAACCTCATTGGCCCCAAGGAGAGATCAATGATGAGCAAGGCCGGTCTTGAGATTTTAGAAGTCCTGTGCGGGACTCAAACGGGACCCTTACATGATTTAAATTTTTTATTGTTGCATTTTCTTTTATAGTTTTTTTTTTAATTATGGCGTAAATTGATATAAAGAAAAAAACAACATGAAGCATAATGTGGTGGTATGCACCTATCTGAAATCCTATGTTTTTTTGTTTGAAACTCCTTAATTTTTAAATACAAAAAGCATGGAGTGATGACTACGTAGTTATCGTATCACCGTACAAATACCATAATCATAACCATTAATGATCTTTATTAGCATCTAGAGTTCATCTCATGAAAAATTTGTGTTAAACGAATTACTGGTTATGCTATTGATAGCATCTTTATTAGCATCTTTATTGCATTTTTGCTCACACTCTAAAGCAAGGATTATTCTCACCACCCCCACCCCCTCCCCCCCCCAAGATTTGTGTCTCTAACGGTAGGTATGAGCAAAGTTGTATTATAATATTCTTTTGATATATAGATGATTAAAGTCTTCAAATGGATGAAACTTATAATTTGATAACTTTTAAACGGTGATCAAAAGAATAAACAATTCTTATTATTACATGTATTCTATTTAATGGTGTCATATAAGGAAGGGGCTTTTAAATATTATATTTTTAAGCTTTTAAGAATTTTAATTTATTATGATATTACTAATTGCAGATTTATTCGCAAAAGTTATGTTATATAATGAAAGAAATGTTTGTTTTTTATTTTTTTGAACAAACAATGAAAGAAATTAAACTACAAATATTCCAAAAAAGAAACAAATAGTCTAGCTTAAAAAAGCCCAAAATGGTTACCCGGACAATGCCCAATAGGAAAGAAATCAAAATTAATAAACATGAGCAAGTGTGGAGTCGAACCCGTGAACAAGTAAACGACAGTACCATCGGTTGACAACTATGCCAAGAAAGCATTGTGATCATGAACACGCTTATATAAAGGTCCTATAATATGTCATCAATTTAATGAATCATAAAACAGTCAATCACACCGAAGGCATAAATTGGTGCGATTTCATTGCTTTGTGGTGCAACAAGAGAAAATTGAAATTCCATGACCCATTTCAAAATCATCCCAAATTAAAATTTTAAGGTGACGGGAGGCAAACAAGATTGCTCCTCCACTTGCACCATCTGGATTGTCTTTGGATCAAGTTTTACACGGTTTGAAGAACCTCCATGTGATTGCGGATCTTTTAATTGAGGATAATTCTAATCTATAATTCTTGGTACAAGACACTCTTTTCTCTTTGACAAGATTAAAATCTCCGAGAAGATTTATCAAGGCCCAGATAATGTACTCTATCCTCTTATGTACCTATTCATTCAATCTTTTAATGGATGTCCTACTCTTTCTAAAAAAAAAAAGGTGTGAAATGCACCTGACCCAAACAAATTAGGTGCATGTTCAAATTTCTTTTATATTCATTTTTTTAGGAAAGATATCAATAATCACATAAACTTGTTTGCTTTTACGATTTTATCATTGCTTCATAACAAATCAAAATCAAATAGAGGGAACTATCACTAGAGTTTCTTCATCCCATATGCAACACCAAGCCAATGAAGCCGGCCACCGTTTAGTTTGTTTTGCTTTGTAGATTGGTAATATTTGTAACTGGTTCGAGTAACCTCCTAGTATAATTGCTAACCTGCTCTTTGAAGAGAGCCTTGGTTGATTTGCATCTCCTTACCAAGTGTTTGTATGGTATGCTTTTGGGGCACTATTTAGTGTGGTGTATGCTCACCATTCTATTTATCCCCGTTAGATGAGTTTGAATTTCGATATATATATATATATATATATATATATATATATATATATATATATATATATGCAAGGTTTTGAAATACATTAGGTGCTAGTTAGGCCGGAGCTGGAGCCTAGCACCTAGGGGGACTAGACGGATTTAAGGAAATTTATTATATTTCGTGTAAATAAGTGTCTATTTATACTTAATATATATATATAATTATATCATAAACTACGAAATAGAATGACATATATATTATGAAGTATTGGAACATAATGAAAACATAGGGAACAAGCTTATAATGTGTGTTTATTTAAGTATTCAACAAGTCTCTTATAATTTATTCAAAAAATAATGCAAAATAAAAGTTAATCTATTTTTTGTCAAAGTGAGTTGCAACCTAGGCGGGTGTTTAGTTAGGTCTGGATGAGCTAGGCGGGTGCCTAGGCGATCTACGCGGGCGCCTATGCAGGTCTAGGCACCTTTTCTTAATTTTCAAATGCCTAAGCATTAATTGTTAATTGAGGCGGTGGCCAACCTCCTAGCACCTAGGCGGCGCTAGACGGAGATTTTTAGAACAATGTATATATATGTATATATATAATGCATGAGGAGAGAGAAGAAAGAGAATGGAATAAACTGCTACTAAAAGCATACCATACAAACACTTGGTAAGGAGATGCATATATATATATATATGATCTGTTAATTTTTTATTTTAATGAAAGTACGATAATATATTAGGCGAGTCGAATTACATAAAACTTGATCGTTGAACTACAATACTAGGCTACCATCTTTTGTTCTCTAAACATACACAAGGCAGTTAGAAAGAACTAAGACCCCAATAGATTAGCCAGTTGTGATGATCGGTTTTTAATTTAAGATATATTACATAAGTGAATTGATTGAATTTGACAGAACTTTTGTAACCTCAAACATATTAGGTTTACCTGAGTTTCAAACACAATTAAGGACCCATGACATGATAGATCTTACCAATTCTATATCCATTCCATTCGAGATGTTTGGTACTTTCTTCAGTAATCGTCTATAACCACAATCACATGCCCTGACTCAATCATTTGAAAGTTTTTGTATGGTACGTACATCATTCATGTGAACACATGGTACGTGTTGCTCCCAGTGCATAACTCTCTCCACCAGGTGTGGTATATGTAACATCTCATATCGCCCAGTGGAGTAGATCTTATAAGCCTTATATGTATATTCTCATCTCTACCTAGCACGGGACATTTTGGGAGCTCACTGGCTTTGGGTTCTATTGGAACTCTGAAGTTAAGCAAGTTCGCGCGAGAGCAATCCCATGATGGGTGAACCACTGGGAAGTTCTCGTGTGAGTTTCCCAGAAACAAAACCGTGAGGTCGTGGTCGGGGCCCAAAGCGGACAATATCATGCTATGGTGGAGTCTAGCCCAGGATGTGGTGGGGGCCCGGGCCGGAATGTGACAATTTGGTATCAAAGCCAATCCTTGGTTGGAAGTGTGCCGACGAGGACGTTGGGCCCCTAAGAGGGGTGGATTGTAACATCCCACATCGCCCAAGGGAGTGGATCCTGTAAGCCTTATATGTATATTCTCATCTCTGCAAATACGTACAGTCGTCGAAGCTAAATCCAAAACATAATTAATTAAGTGCATGCAACTCGATCTCTCCATACAAGAAGCAACTCAATAGAAGCCACAAAACAACATTAACAATTGCCAAAATGATCTAAAATAATTCCCCCAATCCTCACCTAACGTGGATGACCCTTAGTATCACCAAGACTAAATAATTTTCTCTCTCTATTAAACTACGAGATAAAAAGAAGAGAAAAATAAAAGTGTAAAAATCACGTTCTATTTATGATTGTGAACCCCTCAACTTGAGATCAATTTAAAATTTTATTTTACAAATACATAGGATATTGACCTACTCAAACACATTATTATTTGATAAAATATTTACCCTAATGAAAGTGCATATAGGCTCCCAACATTTTCTTATTTCACAACGGACTAATACAATAAATAAAGGGAATTGTTATTAGTACTCCAAAATTTTCGTTCTACACTCCAAACTTTCTATATTTAGAAAGAGAAATACACTTGTGAGGAGTGTAGAATGAGATTTTTGAAGTGCTAATAACACTTTCCTAAATAAATAACATAAGTAAACAAAAGAGTTAGTGAAATCAATTGATCTCCAAGTAAATCCCATAACTTACTCTCCAGTCAAATTAATGATTGAATGATGACAACGAAACAACTTCGTACCATCCAATTCGCCAATTATTTGCCTGCCAATTGGTACCAAAGTGGCCACCTCCTTTCAAAAGGATAAAATGCCCTCAGACTCTTCTGAAAACAAGATAATTTAAAAAGAAAAACTAATAAAAATGGTTTGAAAACTTTGAGTTTTAACGATAAGAACAAAATAAAGGGTAAAATGAATAGTACTAAGATTGACTTTTTAATGTAAAAATGTGGTTTTTCGTTAAAATACCGGAAGCTTTTTGTTAAATTTCCCAATTTATGCTGCTTACACTTAGACAGGTATTGATCAATGCTGCCAAAATAAAAAAGCTAAAAGCCCTACTCTTACAATTCACATAGAATACAAGGGAAAGTAATAAAAATATATAAAATAAAATAAACCATAAAATAGAAAATGTGGAGTTTCGGAGATGACAAACCCTAGTTTTGAACTTTGACCCGAACTCCAATAGCTACTTTCCTGAATTTAGAATGAAATCTCAACCTTCTTTACAAATTAATGACCATTTTGACTAATTTTCCGGCAAGACTTGAGCTCGGCAATGAAAGCATGAACATTGGAATGAGAAGAGCCACCTTTTTCAAAAGCTTTCATGGCTTTGTCTCTAAACTCTTCTGCTCTCTTTCTCATGTCAACCACTTCATCTTCTTCACATCCCATTAGTCTGTTCACAACATGGGCAACCTTGTCCCTCTTTATGGTCACCCTAGGCACCTCCTTCAGTGGAACCCAGTCCTCATTCCCCATTGAAATCCCAACCCTTATGACATTGAGAATGAACCTCTCATTGTAGAACTGCTCCGAGGAGAAAGGCCATGTGATCATTGGCAGACCAGCTGTGACACCTTCAATGATGGAGTTCCACCCACAATGGTTCATATAAGCACCAACAGCTGGGTGTTCTAAAATCAAAAGCTGAGGAGCCCAGCCTCTTATCATAAGCCCTCTTTTCGATTTCGTAATCCTTTCTTCGAATCCCACAGGAAGCACAACACTTTCCACTTGTTGCTTCTCTTTTGATGAGTAGTCTAAAATCCTCCCAATCACCCAAATGAAAGGGTGGTTGGAAGCTTCAAGCCCATGAGCAATTTCCAAAAGCTGAGCTGAAGTGATTCTTGGCATGCTTCCAAAGCTTATGTAAAGAACTGAGTTGGGGTCTCTAGAATCAAGCCAACTCAAACAACTATGCTCATCAATGGAGGTTTTGATGCCTCTTTCGACCTTGTCGATGTTGGTCCGGTTGTACAATGAGACCGGCCCTATGTGCCATATCTTCCTCTTCATATCCTTCTGAAAGTAATCAGCATAAGCTTGTTCTAGCTCGTAGAAGCTGTTCACCACAATCCCATAGCTTTTAATCTCACACTCTAGAGCCTCATTGAGAAAATGAGTGAACACATTTTCGGCTTTGACATAATCCGGCAGCATTGACCTTTTGAGCTCGATTTGGTTGGGTAGGCCGGGCACGAGAAAAGACTCAGTTTCAAACACAACTTTCTCATGTGGAGCATACCGTCTGAGACTTTCCTCCACACAGTGAGAGAAGCAGCCACTCCCATCAAACACAACCCTAGGGATTCCAAGCCCGTTAGTGACATCTGCAATCCAAGGATAAAGCCTGTCCGAGATAAGACAGTCCGGTCGGGTCTGGCTAAGGAGCTTCCGGAGAGGGTCTTGGAGCTTCATGGCAGCCATGAAGAGTTTGGTGAACATGTCACCATTAGTGGTTGTGAGTTCGTTTTCGCAACCGTTCGGGAGACCAAACTCTTCAGCCGGGAAATTTAAGGTGAGGAAGCCTATATCATAGCCTAGTTGTTGGTCTCTGAGGATGGGGTTTTGGAAGAGGAGGACATTGTGAGGGGTTGTGACAATGGTGGCCTTCACGCCATGAGAAGCAAAGAGTCTGGCTAGGTCTATCATGGGGATCAAGTGACCACCAAGTATGTAAGGAAAAAAGAAAATTTCAAGCTTGGGTTCGGCTTGAGAATCCATTTTTTTGGTTTTGCACCTAACTAGCTCTAGTCTCCTTTGGGTTAATTTATAGTTATAGCTCCTTCTCTGCCGCCTCCATATGAGAAACGTTTTTATACCACAGTTACTAATTACGATTGTTGATATTCAAATCGAGGACCCATATATACAAATGGATCCCATATTTTGGTACAAACTTGCTTTTAGCAATCTCTTGAGTTTTATAGTATAAGATTATAACATCACTACAAGAATTGTAGACATGAACTTAGCCAAGTTAGCTTGAACACTATTTAGGGTAGACTATCTCTTGTATAACAAAATAAAAATAAAAAAATTCATTAAAACCCTAAACCCAATATTCATAGTAATTAGTGAGATTTATGTAAACCCGTCTATAAAAATGAATCTCACATCGAAAATTGATGTTGTTAATGGTGAAACTCACTTGAATTTATATATATTATATACCATTAAATTTTAGTATGGTCCGCCTATATACCCGAGTTTCGTATGTGAGATCAGTCTACGTATAACCCAGTTTTATAAGCGCGTGAGAGATGTTGTCAATAATAATATGGTAAATAAATGTTCTATTAGTATATAAGTCTACCTATATGTCACCAATTGAGACTGACTTTGTGAACATTTTGGGAAAAAGAAAAAGAAAATTATATAGGATGACAAAGATTTATGCATGCGTATGTTTTTTCAACTTTTTCCCTTCTGTGAGGTCGGTAGAATGCATGTGGCATTGGTTGCAAAATACAGTGCTACAATAAAGTCCTTTGATTCATTTGGATTCTGTTTTGTGCTTCCCTATTTTGGAAAAAGATGGTATCCACAACTTTCATCTGCATTCTGAGACTTGGTTACAAAAATTGAACCAAAAATGTCTGCCAATATAAATTGCTGATTAAATAGCCCAACTGAGTACTCGGTTTCAAGAACACGGCACAGAGAAAATGATGCATCACAACGAGACTTTTGGTTTGGGAAGTTTAAATGAATGCATATCAAACACCCCCCCCCCCCCCTCTCTCTCCTAACTCTCAATTTCTCATCTATTTGATCACCGTCGAAAATTCAAACCCCATCCTCTTTCCTTCATTTTTTTCTTTATTACAAGTGATACCACCATCACTGTGGATGCAAATTTCTTCCTTCTTGTTCTCGGACGAAAATGACTCACGCGCCCACAATTAATCTTTTTTTTTGGGGGGGGGGGGGGGCGACTTTGGCCGAATAACCTCTGATGCCAAAGTTAGAATTTTGCCAGAAGCTTGTAATTGGGTTTTGGAGAAAATGAGGTGGTATTTATAGGGTTGTGGCCGACCCCCTTTGGAGAGGTGGGAACCGGCCACCTTTGGTATTAATCACCATCAATTAGCTAATTAATGAATTAATTGAGTAAAAAAATTAGTTAATTAGCTAATTAATATAATTTGAAAGAAATAATTTGGTAGTTACCTTGTGGGGAAGATTTGATGAGGGTTGATGAAATAGGTTTTGAATAAATACCTATTTTGATTACTTTTGACCTTAATTGAGGGATGATTGTCCACTGCTTGGGCGTAGAAATCCCGATGTGCCTTAAGGGTAATCTTGTCTTTTTTACCCAAAAATCCACGTGTCGCCTCCATATTTTTCTTTATTATTTTTTGTTGCACAAATGCCCCCACATATGTTGGGCTGTTCGCAGGAAAGGGCAGCAAGAAAAGGAAATAAATTTCTCCCAAAACTTATTTAAGTCCACCTTAAGTGGATTATTAAATCAACTTAGGAAAGCGATTTATTTTCCCTACAAGAGAGAGAAAGCTTAGAGAATATTTGTTCCCCCTCTTCTAGCAATCTTCTACATCTTACCCGTGCAAAAGATCGTCTTTCGTTGCTTGCTTCGTCTTCACGTCACTTCAAGGTAAGAAAAATTTAATTTTTCCTTGTCCTCTTAATTTTTTGGGAGCCTCGGGTCTTGAAATTTGGCTCAACGGTGGTCGAGGATGTGTGAAAAAATCTTGAATAAGCCATGACATTGTTGCTGTGGGTGGTGAGATGCGGCGTGGTGGCGGCTCGGCTCGGCTTGGGCCAAGGGTTGGTACTGCTGGCGCGGGCCAGGAAGCTGGGCTAGATGAGTGGGTCTTGGCCCACGAGAAGAAGTGGAGCACCAACCTTTCTCCAGTGAAGTTGGAACGTGAGGCCTGCGGGGGTGGGAGAAGATAAACCAGGCTGTGGGGCCTGGCATGGCCGCTGGGATCCTGCGGCTTGGGCTTTCATTTTTTTTTTGCATGATGGGCTTGGGCCCATGCATGAGAGAAGAAAGGGTAAGCAGCTGGTCGCCAGGCTTGGCTCGCCTAGTTAGGTTGAGAGCTGCCTCACCTTTTTTTTTTTTTTTTTTTTTTTTATGGCTGGGCTCAGGCCCGTGTCTATGAGATAAGGGAGAGAGGCCGATAGCCCTATTGGGCCCTGGGGCCGAGAGTTGCTCTTCCTTTTTTTGTTTTTTTAGGCAGCCATCTAACAAATTTTCTTCGCATTTTTGTAGAATTTCTTCGAGCATGTCTTCCTCGAGCCACAACAATGATGATGGGGTTCCACATTGTATCGTCAAGACGGGTCTTTAAGCAAGGTTGGCTACTTCAAGGCTGCTCACTTCAAAATTATCTCTGATGACTTGTTGAGAGACTTCCTTAAGGCGTACATGCATGTTGTTTTGTCGGGAGTACGTTGTGAAGCGTGTCAAAGATGGTAGCAGCCGTGAGCCATGTGGTGGGGCTCGAAGGGCCATCAAGTTCCACCCCTACTACTTTATGTTGGGATTTACTTTTCCCATGCCTCGCTTCTTCTAGGAAGTACTTTGCAATATGAAGTGTGCCCCCGCTCAATGCTCTCCGAATGCGGTTCGTGTGATGGTGGGATTCCTCAATCTAAGCCAATTCTTTGACTTAGATGTAACCGTCAATGAATTTTGGTACTTCTTTGACATAGGCCACATCGAGGGAGTTGGGCAATTGCAATCCCGCCATAGGCTCTTCGATTATTCGAGCAAGGGAGATCATGACTGGGCCAATGAGACTTTGGAGATAAGTGGAGAGTGGGAGTCTGATTCTTCCCCCGAGCTGTGTATTCCAACGATTTTCACATATAGTAAGTAGGCTGCTTTGTATTTGTACTAAGCTGCTCTCTAATTTTCTGATTCTCTCCCCCTGCTTTTGTAGTACCGTGAGTGGCGTTGGTTGCTTAGTCCTCGTTGTAGGGAGAAAGGTAGGCTGCCCCCAAGAGATGAGATAAAGTGGATCAAGGCAAAGGCATTAGCTCATCTGATCGCCGTCGTGGAGCCCACTGTAAGCGAAGGTGGGAAAAAGAAACCTTCCCTGCCTGCTCAAGAGATGCCAATTGAGAAAAGCTAAAGACTTATTCCGCTGCTTGTGAGGGTTCACTGGCTGCCCCCAAGCTTGTGATTGACTTGACTTTTCCCAAGGGTGATAAGGATGAGGTTGCTAGATTCGTGCCGGTGACGCTTGCCGTTCCAAAGGTGGCTAGTTCGGTTGCTGATAGGATTGCTTAGCATAGAAGTTCCTTCGTGCCTTCAGTGCCGAAATTTATGCCAAAACACCCATCTGGGGCTAAGTCTGGTTCACCTTTGGAGAGGCTTACTACTATGAAGAGTGACAAGGTGCCTTTGCCTGCTAAAATGGCACAAAAACCTATTCCCTCTACTATTGAAACTAACTTGTCTGCTGAGAAGAAGGAAACTTCTCGTACGGGCAGCTATGAGAAATCCACCAAGTATGTTTTCGGGGAAGTTGCTGAGATTTATTTTCTTTTGAGACCAAATCTGCTTGAGGACATGGATGTATGTGCCAAATTTTTCGATGACGTCAAAGGGGTTGTTAGCCCAAGTTTCTTCACAAAGCATTCAACCGAGTATAGGAAGATTGCTCTACTGGCCATGATGCAGAAAACGATGATTTTGGCAGCCAAGTCTATGTTCCTTGATCAATAGGATACCAAGATTGCCAATGAGGTAGCAAGAACTGTGGCAACCAAAGCTCACTCATCAATCGAGAAAGTAAAAAAGCTGGAATCTGAGCTTGCTGCTTTGAAGGGGTCTAATGTATCTGCCCCCACTTCTCTGCTACTTAAGACCACTCACTAAGAGATCGTGGATTTGAAGACTAGGCTTGACACAACCCAAGTAAAGTATGAAAGTACAGAGAATGAGATCGGGTGTTACATACCTTAGAGTCAAGACCTTGAGCGTGTCATCTCTGAGCTCATCTCCGCTGCTTACATAAAGGATGAAGAACTGATCGCTATTTACAACCAAGTGATCCACTTTAAAAAGGCCGTTGATAGGCTTGAGCCTCAAGTGTTGGAACTCTAAGGTGCTTTGAAGATCAACGATAGTCTGAAGAAAGAAGTGGAGGAGCTGCAACGGGTCTGTGCTTGTTTGCTTGAGGAGAATGAGCAGTTGAAGGGTAAGAATGATGGGTTTGAGGCTTCACTTACTCAGAGTCAAGCTGATTTCTACAAGTTGGGTTATGTAGACCATCTCTTTGGGCAGCCGTCTGACTTTGAGTTTTCTGGTAAAGACTTGGAGACCTTATCTATTACTCCGGAAGACTTGCTTGCCTTTACTTTTGAGTCTTCTATTGGTGAAGTAGTCGGAGAGGTTGGTGCCCAGGCTGGGGCAGCTAGGGGTGAAGTGTTGGATGGTGCTGCTACTGAGAGTGTCACGGCTTCTGAAGGTGTGGTGACAAAGTAGTCGTATAATGTCTAAGCTGCTGAAAAGTAGTCTTCTAGGTAGCCTTTAGGATTTTCTTTATTTTCCTTGTTGTTTTTTCTTTACTTAAACTCCTTCAATCTTTGCTAGTGGTTTATCAATTTTGCTAGAAAATTTAATAAACTTGTTTCCTTCATTTTTTTTCCATCTTCGCTTTTTGTTCATTCCCTAACCTTTAGACTTTATAGACCAGTGGTAGGCGTGCTACTTTTCTATAAGCAAACAGGCTCATGTAGCCTAT